ATTCATTTTAGAACACACTGACAATTCAATATTTTCACATATTTGGTATTATTTTGGGTTTATGTAGCAAAACATCATCAATGTCTCTAAGCGCTTTACAGATTACCCCGGTTATAGTATTCAGACTTGCCTACACATAATGTATGCACATTCTCCACTCCCTGGGGAGCATTCCAGCCAGGCACCATTTTACAGATGCTCACAATGCTGAGCATACTCTAATGTCCTCCACATCCTATCAGGTACCAATTTAACATGTCAGTGGAGATTGGCGAATATGGATTCAGGCCTTGCCAAAGGACATTAGTGCTAGGCTGGGATTTGATCCCTCAACCCTTGGACTGAGAGTCAAGTGAATGAACTTCTATACCCTGCCACTTCCATTTTACAACTACAGTGTATGTAAGAATGCCATTTTTAGGTCAAGCTTCTCTTGCATGTATTGTACATCTACATGTACTGTACCGTAAATCTCTGTGTATAAGGCGCACCCCTATTTTGGGGGCAAAAAAAAACAAAAAAAAGAATCGTTTTTGGTTTTGTTGTTGTTTTGGTGCCGAAAACCAACGCGGGGAAGGACCTTCATTTTACATCGAGGTGCAGTTGAAGTTGTGAACTTGTCACAAATAACAGTAACAACAGTTTAAGGATTCATGATACCAAGTGTCCCACACTAGCCTCCTCACATCACCTAGCAAAAGCACTGTGTTCTATGCCAAACATCAATAGTCATGCATGATATGAATAGCATCCTGACAACATTTCTGACAATGGAGTACCTAGGATAGAACCTTGTGGTACACCATTTGTTATAGAAAAAAAAATTGAGGAATTATTATTATAAACTACATATTGAGATCTATTAGAAAGATTACTTTCAAACCAAGATGACAGACAAATTTGAGTGTTGTTGTAGTTTCCGAGTGGTGAGTCAACACACTGATTACTGAGCTAGGAGACATTGCCAGGCATAGTGCCATAAATCGAAACTAAAGAAAAAAAAAAAAAAAAAAAAAATTCTGTACCTGTGTATAAGACGCACCCCCGACTTTCAAATTTTTTTTCGGCGGCAAAAAAGTGCGCCTTATACACGGAGATTTACGGTACATAGAAACAGCGACATTTGTACCACCACAGGCTTCATAAACTTGACTCATAGACAATGGACACGAGGCCTCTCCAGGATCCTTCTAAGAAACATTGGATACTACTCCATGTTCATAGCAACAAAACCCACGAGGTATCAGCCTATTACAGTGAAACCTGTCTATAATGACCACCCAAGGGAGACAAGAAAAGTGGTCTTTATAGGCAGGTTCATTTAGTACATGTATCTATGAGAAACCATTTTCAAGGGAAACAAAGAATTATGGTCTTTGTAGACAGGTGGTCTTTCTATACAGGTGGTCAGTCACTATAAAAAGTAGGTTTGACTGTATAACATTCTAAACCTAATGGAATAATGGAAATCAAATAACAGAGTTTAGCAATTAAATTGAGAGAGGAATATACATGGAGGTTGTCTGTCAGTCTGTTATGAAGTCAGCTGCCTTCACCAGTCTAAGCAGCAGGTGATCATTGTTACAGAGACAGTCTTCTAATCAGTCTGGATAGTAACTATCATTACATCATGATCTAAAGATTATACTGTTCATAAGAAGATCAAGGCATGGCAGGATAGTAAAATCATTCATGAATATTTGCCACCAGTATACATGTACACGTACATGTACCACTACATGTATCACTATTTGACACAAAAAGATGTGGATATGTAGGCCTACATGCACAGTACATGTAATGTAGCCTACAATCTATCTATCTATCTATCTATCAGGCAATAGTTCATCCAGACGTTGGACAAAGCCCTCCTCATAAATAACATTTCCATTCTCTTCTGTCTCTAGCTGTCCTAGTCCAAGCGGCCGTTCCCATGTATGATGTTATGCATCTATGCTTTGGTAATTTCATGTACATTAAATCAGAACAAAAACAAAATGTGGAAGGAAAAAAACCTATAACCTACATGTATACTATAGTACATGTACCGGTAATGTACATGTACATTAAATGCAGTGAGAAGTTGGAGGGTTTCTACATATTTGTTAAAGTTACTATTTGGGCATGGTCAGTTTCATTGCTCATCAGTTTGGCTTAGAATGCATTTTCTACCTCCAAAAAATCCCTATAACTTTAAATAAAATGTTGTTCACTTCTACAAGTATGCATGTAAACTTGATTATGTATTCCATCAACCACACATACTCATACTCGCATGCACATCGGACTTAACACTAACAGAGGCCTTGTGCACATGATATGAATCACACGATCCCCCACATATTAACTCTAATATTCCTTTCTATACCTCAAAAATTTTAAAATTCAAACAGAACCTCCTCAGCAAATTACCATGATTCTGAAACTAAATGAATATATTACTATAATCATGTCAAAGTAACATAACTTTTCTCATTCCCATTTTCATAAAAGTCATACATTAATTCAATTATTTACAGAATTACAGGAATATAATATGAAAAAGAGCTTAGTTAACACTTGGTGGTCCATGAAGCAGAAAAAATAAGTTATGCTAGATTTAACTTAATTTGCTTCCAGGATAAAGGTTAAAGAATCCAGTTTCCAGGAAGCTGTGAGTTGGTCTAGCGGTATTAATGTTCATGGTACGGTCAGCCCCATGTCTTCCCTTACAAACTGATTCAGACGGACCCCGGTTTGTAACCGAATCATGTCTTTTGGATGGTGACGTTAAAGGTCCGTCCCAGACGTAAATAATCATATCCGTCTGTAGAATCCCAAATACGCACATACACACACACACACATCAACCACATCACCAAAACCATATACTTCCTGGAAAGTTTCAATGACCTTCTTGCACTCCCCCAAGTAGTGGACACACACAGACCTGTATTATAGACTAAACACCATGACTGCGCTTCCTTTGCCTTTAAATTTTAAAGACCTTATTGCAGTTAAGCATGTGTAATCCACACAGATTTCACACCACTTATTTCCTTCCATGTTTAGATGAATTAACCCAGATTGTATGACACGTGTGGCAGCATGGTCTAGCTAGCTAGCATGCTGTGGTTTTCACTACCCTTATTCAGGAAATAAACCCTGGCATTTCCTTCTCCATCTGGGATTCTCAAGTCTCAACAAAAATTAATTTCTTCACAATTCTAGAGTTCATACCATACTCTATACTTTCAGTCTTTTCATAGACATAAAAAGGCACTTACATGTAGCATCAACAAAGTTGAACAAACATGGTCTGCATATTCTGTAACAACTCCACATGACAAAATAATCCCAGGTATGCATGCTTTTTTGTACATGTATTTGATTCCCGAAAACTTGTAAAATTTAAGCCCTTTTTTGTATGCACATATTTCATTATCATTATAATCCAAAATGGGGGCTCCCATGTAATGCCTCTACATTTAGATGACTTTTTGACATTTAGAGGCATAAAAATAGCATTAAACATGGACTAAAAACAACTTTGAATAAGAGAATAATCAAAGGTACAAGTGATTTTAGGTTCATGTACTGTATGTTAAAGTGTTCAAAATTGTCAAATTTTGGCAATTTTTAAAGGATTTTCATTATATCCAATACCAATATCAGGAGCCAATCCGAGAGTAGCTCTTACTTTCAGCATGAAAATCACTATATTGTATTCCTAATTCTGCCCTCTTGATTTACCCATTTTAATCTTTTTTTTAAATCTAATATCACCCCCACCCCAAAAAGGGGGGGGGGGGGTGATGTGCCCCAAACTAGTTAATATCACATTATCTCATGTTCAGAAGAAGGACAAAAATACTAATTTAGACCTATACATTACGGTATACTATCTCCTCAATCTTTAGAAATGATACAGTGAATGAGTGAACCACTAAACCAACATTTCACATTATCTTTAAATATTTAAAGTTTAAACGCATCACACTATATCTTTAAAAGAAGGTTGGTCAGCTGGTGAAACTGTTTCATTTCACTGCAATAAAATGTAATGATAAAATATGTCTTTACTTGAACAACACTCTTCATTATACCACTTGAGTTTGAACATTATACAAGACATTTGAACTGACACAATTCCTTATAAACTTGGTGCGGTGCTGAACTTTACCTGCAGTGCACCATTCTTGGCATTGGATTCTCCAGGGATGTAAATCTTGGTCACAAAGCTAAAAAATTGATTTTTTTTTTTTTTTTTTTTTTTTTTTTTTTTTTTTTTTTTTTTTTTTTTTTTTATAAAATTCTTTGTTGCAGAAAAAATATCTAAAGATCAAAATTTCTTGGGTATGTTTCCTGTAAATGTACATCTGGTCCAAAACTTTTTAGGGGCATAAATTGCCTACCATAGTTTAAGTCCAAATCTGAAGTAGAACTTAAATTAGGTGCATCTCTGTGAAACACCCCCTGTAGATTTGTGACCATGATTTGCACATCCTCTGAGACCAATGCCAGAGATGGTGAAAGCAACCAGTGGCATCAGCAGTCTGCCATAGTAGAAGTAATGAAGTTCAACTTAAGTCGATCTCAGTCTTTGTGAAACATCCCTAGGATATCATCTATTTCCTTAACTATTGAATCTGTTACTGGTTGTTTCAGGAGCATACACAATATTACATGAAAGGTTACAGACCATTCTAACCACTCTGAAAGTTGAGTATCAACAAATTCTTGCTGTAAAAAAAAAAGGGGCAGCTCAACGATTGTCACTCCTGGGACATTGTGCAGTCAAGATGCTACCTCTTGCCCCTCGATTTGCCTCCCTGACTTGAGAATGATTAAGAGAATGAGTACAGGAAGATAGACCTGGAAGCTTGACTGCTGTCTCAGCATTCTTCCAGTATTTGCGGTAAAGGTAAAGGTAAAGGTAAAGATAACACAAACCAAACAATACATCACTGATAACATTGGACTGTTAGAAATTACAAGGAACAATGTTCATTTCCACTCACCTTCTGATCAGATCCCTTCTTTTCATTCTTCTTCTTTTTCTTGTCATTTGTTGGGGATTTCCTCCTACAAAATAAACATAAAAATAAAATACAGTCTAGTGAACTGATATTGTATGTCTACAGCCTTATTACAGGCGCCCCATTTTACTTCTTTGCTTCGAGAACGGACATTATTTACAGTGTAACTGAACCAACATTTCCTTTCAAAAAATATACACTTGTGGTTCAAGTGATTCTATTCCGAATGAAATGTTAACATTGTAGTACTAGAAACAATACATTAGGGCAGACACAGATTCAGTTTACCATGAGGCCTAAAATAAAAACTTGTTGTATTGCCCTTTGGGTGCCAAAACATGGGTCGGTCGGTCGGAAATGTTTTACTTTTTTTTTGTCGCCATCTTTGGGGCGATATTTTTCAGATATGAATGTGTTTAATGCTTTAATACATGTGTTTCAACGTCCTCATTCCATTGATATATTTTTCACCTCATAATCATCCATGGTTTGCACGAGTGAGAATTTTTGAATAATTTGATTTTATGCATTTATATCCCATTTAAACAAACAAAATACATATTTTTTATTCATTAATTTAAAAAATCTAAAAAACATTTTTTTTTTTTTTTTTAAATGCCGACCATAGATTTTGAGATTTTGGGGTCGGTCAATACAACAAGTTTTTATTTTAGGCCTGACGGCAGTCAACCTCAGAGGGTTCCGTCTACATGTAGCCTTACAGAGTAGGTGATTAATGAAAAAAACAGAAACACTCCCCCATGTGCGCCTTTTTACATTAATCACTCTTGTTGTAAAGTGAGCATCAATTGGCAACGTGATATAAGTGCCCAGATTATCTTGCCGATGTTGGAGTTTGGGCAGCAAAATAACCAGAATTACAGTTTGTAGGATGATTCTTTGAATTTTGGTGAGTTTTCTGCAAGTTCCATTGAATGATTGAAGTCAGTGATTGTGTCTGTGTGTGTAATGAGTTGATTTGTGGGTGTTTAGATATCTTTGCAGTGAAATTTTGAATGTTAATTTGTATATGAATCATTGTGGTGTGCAACTCCAAATCACTTCTACAAAGCTGAATGGGAGAGGACGACGACCTCACATCTTAAGATGTCACACTCGCAGCCAATGCAATGACCACTGATAGCTGATGCTATGATGTCATGATGACAGCATTACCAATTTTGTGTTTGATTGAACTTCAAAAAGACAAAAGACAAAAATTCAGAACCCTTAAGAGTTTCATATTCTTTATCAGATTACACCCAAACTTTCACTCATCAACTTCTAGAAAAAGTCACACTTTTCTGCTTTGTAAGTTTGTTATCATTATTAATTATCAAAAGTTTAAAATCAACACGGCCCGGTTGACTTCCATTTGTTTTCAAATTACTCTCCACACAGACAACATGACATTGATACACTTTATACATTCATATTCATTTTTTAAAATACAAACCCTGCATTTTCATCCGCAACTGCATACAGCTCATGGAAGATTGCTTTCGCCGATTCCCGGCCGGTCAGGAAACCCTGTGATCGAAATCCCTTCTCCTTTCCTTGTACTACTCCTCCAACTGTGTGTGGATGTGATAATTTTCCCACGCCTAAAGTTGCCATGTCCAAGCTGATGTTTCGCGTTCGGTTGCAAATCCAACAGCTCTTCTACAACTATAAGCACCCAAAATGGGTGTCAAAATTCTCAGACGTCTATATATGGCCAAAATATGACACAGGAACAACGGGAAGAAGACTTTCTAATGGTGTTTTGTTCCTGTATTCATTCAACCTGCTGCCATGTAAGTCGCCATCTTGAATTGTTACATGCATTGTGGGTAGAGGGTGCGACGTCCGCTATGTGACGTTTCGGATTGAAATAGATTTCAGGGACTGTCCCAAGCTTTGTTTACAAACTGTGAAACTATTAATCCCAGCACTTAATAAGATTAATAATGAGCGTCCATACGAGATTCACTTATCTTTTCTATTGTTGTTCTTTCTCACAGAAACATTATTTCTGAGAGAAAAATGTATGCAGTACTTTTTTTTTTATAGGCTGCCCTTTTATTTTTGCCTCTCCCAATACAATGATGAATCCATGCAGTGCCTATTTCTGTTTTGAATAACGTCTTGGCCATGTCCCCACTGGAGTAGGGTGGGGCACAACCGATCGTTGCCCCGCCCCCTTTGTAACCCAAGTGGCATGTCTTTATACACCATGCCAATGTTGTGCCCTCCCCCTCCCGTAAGGTGAAGATATATTTTCTGCTTTTTCCATATTTTAGGAATAGGTAACGGTGCCCCCTCTTCAACAAAATTCCCCATTTCATATTGACTATAGACATACACAAAATTACAGACTCATAAATTAAATATATATTATGTAGGCAAGGTGATTTTTAAGGCTGCACAAACGGTTATGTACCTGAAAATACTCCAAATTTTGCCAAATTTTAATTTAGTCAAAATACGATATACTAGGTATACTGAATTCTGACAAAAAGGAGTGGATCAGGGGAGGAAGAAAGGACATTTTCTTGAGGCCCTGCAAGATTTTCCCACAAATGGATTTTTGAGAACTCCTGCCAACCTTGCATGATATTCCATTGAACAAAAGTTGTTATTCATTGTTTTCCCATTTATATTTATATGTTATTGCATACTTTTTCGAATCATTGTACATGTATTTTGCCGTTAATTGGTAAAAAGTAATATCCCTGCCTCTAATCAATTTTCTCAGGGCTGTGTGTCTAGTGTTTGTCACAGTCGCATCCTGTTGATATTTAACATTTGTAATTACATTGATGATAATCCCAAACAGGGTATTTGATTCTCCTTTTGTTATTTTATACTGATAAATTTGATGTGTAACGTACTTATTCTTTCCTTCTTTTGTATGCGGTTGTACATCGAAGATAATCCTTAATTGTGGATTCTAATTCAATAAAATTAATTTGATTTGATTTGAATTATTCAGTTTTGTTTATTGGAATGGGGATTAAGTTCAAAGTAAATCTGATGCATCGACGATGGTGAAATACTAGAAAATATTAGAGTCCCCTACCTCTACAAAAACAATTGATTTCGCCCAGTATCAGGGGCGTACGCAGGGGGGGTGTTTTGGGGTTCAAACCCCCCCCCTTTGGTATTTTAATGTATGTAACCCCCCCCCCCTAAAAAAACCTAAAACCCCCCCCCCTTTGGCTTTTTTTTTTTTTTTTTTTTATTAAAAAAAAAAAAAAAAAAAAAAAAAATTATACCCACGGCTAACCTAAATAAGGTGACCTTACCCCCCCCCCCCCATACGTAAAAAAATGTCAAATTTTGAAATTTTGAGACCAAAAAAAAAAAACGTGTCCGCTTACCCCCCCCCCCCCCCCCCCCCCCCCCCCCCCCCACTGAGCGACTTTTCTGCCGGCTGAGTCGTTGCGATTTTTTTTGGCCTCCAAAAAAAAAAAAAAAAAGTGTCCGCTTACCCCCCCCCCACTGAGCGACTTTTCGGCCGGCGCGATTTTCAAATTTTCGGGAGCAAAATATTTTAAAACCCCCCCCCCCCTTGAAAAAATCCTGCGTACGCCCCTGCCCAGTATATATATATATATATATATACATAAAGTTCCGAAGAGGTAAGTTGATAGACACATAGAGTGAGGCCGTCATCCCCCATTGCAAGACTGCCATAATAATAATATTAACCCCTCCCCTATATGCTATTGATACGCCAATATGAAGTTTGCAACATGACATGCATGGCTGCTTGAATCTAATTATGTTGGTAACTCTAGTGGAAGAAAAAATAATTCCTTGGATTTACATGTTGTGATTTAATTCTAAGTTTGCCTGTGGCATAACCACTGCACCATGGGGCTTGATACCTTCAACGGGGCTTTGACCGTTCCTCGTGACACTGATGTTTGTCAAAGGTTTATCGAGATGACTATAGCTGCAGGGGCTCTCGGAGGTGATGGTTCTTAAAAAGTGAGCAAATGTTAGGCATTGCATGTTACGTAAAAGAATGCCGTTACATCGCTCTAGCAATCAAAGTTAGAATGACTTATTTAGCTTTATTTCGCCTAGAGAAGTTGATCATTAAAAAGTGCTCTTGTCTCACGTACCCCTGCCCCATAATTATGTAGATGGATTATTTATTCCACTGTTTCATTATACAGTTGAAATTCTATCTTACGCCCGTTTGCTGTGAGTATGACGGGCGTATAGCGACCGAGCCAATATTTTCCATTCTGGAGTAGTGAGATCCTAAATAATAATAATAATAATGATAATAATAATATAGTGAAGTTATATATAGTGCTCATGTTTGACACGCCATTGACGTAGGAGGTGACTATGATGTTTCATCGTATCAATACTCACTCTTCTTTCTCTTTTGTTTTGTTTTTGCATTTTCTCTCCAGGTTTTGGGGGCCCCCTAAAAATACTCTTGGTATTTTGAAATGACCCCAGCCCTCAATGAGATCCTGTATTGCTATATAAGGCAGGAGGGTGTGGAGAAGAGTCATCTTTTTCAGATTATTTTTGTCTTTCATTACCTGTATAATAGTAGTACTCGCTTTTTAATATCTCTATTTCCTTCTTCTCCGCCTTTTCTCCTCTTTCCCCAATCGCTTTACGCCACTCGGGGGGGGGGGGGAGCATGCCTCCGCAGCTTCTACACCACAAACAGTGCCGTTTTGTGTGTCTGGACATGAAAATAGTTATCACTGATTTCAATGGGGCATCGAAATACAAGAGAATAATGCTGTTGATTGACGTGTGGGTATTATGAAGCGTATGGGAGGACGTGGTCTCATCTTACGTCATCTCCTGTCTCCCTTTATTTCTCTCAATATTTTGAGAAATTTGTTCATGTATTGTAGTTACGTCACTGTTTATAAACACTCCTCCGTTCCTCGGTGTACGAGGCAGTATAGAGCTGGGGGCGCCGGTGGATGAGGGGGGAGGGGGGGGGGGACCTATAGGAGCCTGCAGACCCTTCCCGAAAATGTTGAAACATCAAACATTTCATAGGGTATACCCGTCCATAAACTTCATATTTGTGTATCAGCCACCGTATATTAATTTGGGGTCAATTCGGGGGCGGGGGTGGGGGGGGGGGGGGATCGGGTTATAATCTATATTAGTTTGTTTGTATGGCAAAATTATTATATACCGTCAGTGAAAAAGTGTCAAACTTTTGGTCACTTGCTTCACTCGCTTGTACAATGTAGTCACATAGAAATATATTATTATATGCGCTTGTAAAATGTAAGAGCGAGAATGGCCCAACTTTTGTAATGACAGTCTAAGTTAGAAAGTTAGCAAATACTAGTATATATTACACTGCTTGGAAAGGATAATTCATGTGTGAGGAGAAAACAAAGAAAGGATTTGATGATAATTATGGATTGGCGAAAAATAAATTTTACTACAACTTTATACAGCTAATCAACAAAACGATGACCGTTACTGTTCTCACTACAACCTGCTTTGCGCGAAGAGGGCGTCCACAAATTGGCTGAAAGCGAAACTTTAATTCATGTTGCAGTTCTTTAGTCCCTATATTTGTCACTTGGCGGTACCTTAATCTTTTTTTTAATGTCATGAAATATTCTATTATCTTCATGGTTTGGAATTAAGCTGTGAAGAAACAAAATGTTTATTGTAGTACTCGATTTTATTTCACGGGCTGATTCAGTGAATTGAATGTTAACAAATACATTTATTTCGACATTAAATTTGCCTAAGTTCGGGAGTCGGAATCCCATCGGCCCTTCAGTTCAGGGCTTTCATCGAAAGGATGCGGTGCGGTGCGGCGCGGTGTGGTGTGCTCAACGCACCCATTCGATAAAAGAGGGGGGCCTTTTCTCGAAAGGGTGCGTTGAGAGCGGAGTACCGTTTTAACACACCTACCCTTTCGATGAAAGCGGGGGGGGGGGGGGGGGGGGGGGGGGGGGGGGGGGGGCTTTTCTCGAGAGGGTGCGTCGACTAGTCTTTCGCATCAGTCGTTTAAAATGAGGATCTCGGACAGAAGGTAATAGTTGCCAATTTAAGTAATTTTATATCGAAAATGTATTAAATAAAATGGAATGGTCTTGATTACAGAGTGGTCTCTTTGATGGGGGAGACAGAGAGAAGGAAAAAAGGGAAAGGGAAGATAAAAGGAAAGAAAGAAGAATAAGAAGAGAAGAGGGAAAGGTGGGGGCGCGAAGGACTCTTGCCCCCCCCCCCCCCGCCAAAAAATAAAAAAAGAGAGAGAGAGAGAGAGAAGGGAAAGGGAAAGGGAAAGAGGAAAGGAATATAAAAGGAAAAAAAGAAGAAGAAGAAGGAAAGAGGGAAACGGGGGAAGGGCGAAAGGCTCTTACCCCCCCCCCCCCCCTCCCGCCAAAAAAAATTTAAAAAAATAAGAGAGGGAGAGAGAAGGGAGAGGGAAAGAAAATATAAAAGGAAAGAAAGAAGAGGAAAAAGAATAAGAAAAGTGGGAAACGGGGGCGAAGGGCTCTTGCCTCCTCCCCCCCCCCCCGCCAAAAAATAAATAAGAGAGAGAGAGAGAAGGAAAGGGAAAGAGAAGATAAAAGGAAAGAAAGAAGAGGAAGAAGAAGAAAAGAGGGTAACGGGGGCAAAGGGCTCTTGCCTCCTTTCTTTCCTATTCTCCCTCTTTTTCGTTTTTCTCTTTCTTTCTTTTCTTTCTTCTCTTTTCTTTCCTTTCTTTTCTTTTTTTATTTTCTTTTTCTTTTTTTCTTTTCTTTCCCTTTTACTCTCTTTTTTCCCCTCCCCCTTTTCTCTTTTTTCCCGACAGCAGCGCAATTTTACCGACAATATCCTGACAGGTGG